CACGACTGTTTAGGAATTTTTCACGCTCAACTGTTTTCAGAGTTGTTGTTAGTGTTCTCGGACCGAGTGCGCTCGTATGAGTTAGATCGTATAGAAGCCGACTTTAATTTCGGTTTACACCTTACAAGTTTATCTGGCTTCAAGTGCATATTTGTATCCTTGAACAATCAAGATGACGAAGACTATCTGCTGCTGCGAGGCATAGGAATTGTAGCAGATGAGTTAATGGCTGAAGTACAAATTCATGAAAGGTGGAAAAACAAAGCAAGAGAATAATTTGATCCAGAAAATGGATTTTAATGACTAAATGGGTGCTCTAAATAATATTATTCGTGAAGTGGAAAAGGAAGATAAAAACACGTTTAAAATCTCATATTGTGACGTTAATTCCACTTTTTCTTAGTTGGCGCTTTTTGTTTTCATAAAATGATCCGAGTACACTTGTAAGAATAGAACCGCGCTCGAGTGCGCTCGGATCACGTGTTTACCACGCTACGAGTAGCGTCCGTGTAGTCATACGAGTGGACTCAGTCTGCGTGTACTCGTATAGTGAAAATCCGGCTTAAGTTGGTCTCTGGTCATCTGCATCATAGTCTATATTACGAATTTAAAGAAGGATTTGGTATAATCACTACGCTAGGCAATTGGGTCTACCTAATGTGGTCGTAATCATCCGTAGAAATGTAGACCAAACGTGTATATTACCATTAGAGATGGAAAAAACTACTTATTAATTTTAAACGTTGCACGTAATTTTAAATTAAGCGTGCTTAAAAAAGCGCTTTTCATTTAAAGTCACTTTCACTATACAAGTACGCTCGGACTGAGTTCAGTCGGATGACTATTTGGACACGACTCATAACGTACTGATTGGATGCCGACGTTCGAGCGCGTTCGGATCACGTGTTTACACATTACGAGTAGCACGTTAATAGTCACCCGAGTGTGCTCGGTCCGAGCGTATTCGTATGGCGAAAACTGCGCTTAAACGCGTTTTAGTTTAAAGTTTACAAAATCGTTTAGAAAAACATTTAAGTGCATAGATTTTGTTAAAACAGATTGCAATATTATGTTGACAGCGAAAAGCGAGAGTAGGCCTTTAAATGTTATAGGATAAGTAAGTTTATTTGTAACACACGAGTTTTATTTTTATTTATAACACTATTATTTGGGTGTGCAATGGAAGATATAACAACAAATAATCTATTTCCACTTTGTATAACAACATTTGATATAATTTCTAGGGATATAATCACTCACTGCATATAATCAACAAAAGGCATAACAACAAAAGACATAATGTCAATGTGTATAATAAACCTTCAATATAACAAACATTAGATATAGGTAATGATTAGGTAACATAATGAACAAATGGTATTAAGTACTACCAGTATTAATGTATTAAATAATATAACACAATATTTCGTTTTACGATTAATTGAAGTGCCCTACATTATGTTCACAAGATTTTTTTTTTATTTCGTTAAAATGTACAGTCGCAAAATAGAATTGTTTTTGTATAGCTGTGTTTTATATGTAACAAAACATATTTATAAAAACTTTAAGCAGAATATTCACTACTAACCTAACCTAAACCCACAGGACGAGGTCGAACCAACTAGCAAATGCAAACAAATTCGTTTCTGGCGCTCGCTGGCCGCTGCCGCGACACGCTCACTGCGCTCACTCGGTTCGTGCAGCTTTGTCATTATATTACGTGGGGCGCACTATAAGTTTCCGAAATGAATTAGAAAAAAATACTATAAATGGTCAGAATAGTCATTTTTGAAACAAGTGCGGAAAGTTAGTCATTATTCACGAGTCTCCAGGCTTCTTGGCCCAAGCTAGAGGCGAGGGTCAAGACTCGAGACAAGTGAAAATGACAAATCCGCACGTGTATCAAACGACGTTTTTTAATATATTTGCGACAAAACTGCACTGAAAGTAAAATAAAACAGTATTAAAAAAAAAACTCATTTTAATATGATCAAAACTCAGACTACAATGGCAACTGCTGCAAGTATTCAGCCACACTAACATTACTATGTTTGTGGCGCGGCGCGCAGCGAACTCGCGTTATACTCACCTCCGGTCATTGTTAATACTCAATCAGCCATCTTTATGGAAATTATTTTGGTATTTTTAAATGTAACCCGTTGTTTCATAAAACACGTTTGTAGTTTGTATGTATATATGACTTTTAATGACGAATGACTTACGTCACAAAGCACATAAATATGAAATAAATATATAACCTCTTTAGTTCTATGTTTAAGACTTGAAATAACAGTAAATGTAAAAAAATTTAACAATAAAAAGCACTAGTGCGAAAAATCCAACTTTTGGCACGTTTGTAGTACGAAAAATACCACGTTTTGAGCAACTGTATTAAAAATGAATTTATTGTCTCAAAATATTCTCCGTTAGCGTTAATGCACTTTTTCATACGAATGAACCAATTTTGAAAACATTTATGCCACTCCTCCGTGACAATCTCTAAAACATATTTTTCATACTCTTCGACAGCCTCTTCAGGTGATGAAATTCGTTGACAGCGTAACTGGTTCTTAATTTTTGGAAATAAATAAAAGTCACAAGGTGCCAGGTCGGAGCTGTACGTGGGATGGCTCATAAGGTCAACGTTGTTTACCTTCAAAAATTCATTTATCTGTCTGGCCGTGTGAGAACTGGCATTACCGTGGTGCAAGATGATACGGCGTAAAACGTAAACGGTTATTTTTACGGAGTTAGTCAATAAGTTCCGGCAAACAAATGGTCGTACCAATCACTATTCACGGTACAACGATTCTCCAAAGCAACAGTAGCCACATGTCCAGTTTTATTTAAAAAAAGAAGCAATCTCGAAAGACCCATACGCTCGATTGCTGCTTTGTTTTGGGATCGTAACTATAAATCCATGTTTCGTCACCGGTTATTATGTCCCACACCAAATTTGACGCCCCTTCGTTGAATCTGGTATGCATGGCATTGCACCAAGTGACGCGATCCGTTTTTTGAGCCTTACTCAAATTGTGTGGAATCCACGAGAGCACAGCTTTTTCACATCCAAATGTTTGTGTAGTATTGTATTATACTCATGGTATGTCACATGCCTGTCTGTTTTGATCATACGGCACACAGCATCGATATTTTTGTTGTTCACAACAGTGGACCGGCGATATCACGAAATTCGTCACTGAGATTTACACGACCGCGTTTGAATTCTGCAAACCAGCTATAAATAGTCGTCTTGCATGATGCTTCATCGCCAAAAGCAGTTTGAAGCCGAGCGAAGCTCCGCTGAGCTGTTATATTGCACTTAAAGTCGTAGAAAATCATACTACGAAAATTTCTCCGAGTTAAATCCATGGTGATGTAGACAACCAATTTCTAAAATAACGCCACAATGTAAAAACAAGTGACAGTCAGATAAAACGAACTGTATTCTACAGCCAAAGAGACTTTCAAATGTTGTAATTACTTTTTAAATATTGTTTATGTAAGTGGGCAGTTCCGGAAACTTATAGTGCGCTCTATGTAAACTTACCTAAACCCACAGGAGGCGGTCGAACCAACTAGTAAATGTAAACAAATTCGGTTGTGACAAATCTATGGTTGTGACACTCGCCGGCCTCTGCCGTGACACGACACTGGTTCACTCGACTCGTGCAACTTTATCATATACTAACGTAACCACAGGAGGAGGTCGAACTAACTAGGAAATGCAAGCAAATTCGGTCTATTCAACATTGCACCTAAACACCATCGGAATTATATTTATAATACATTATACTCAGTGAATGTTATATCTGAAGTGTTTATATAAAATGAACATTATGCAATCGATATATTAGATTGAAAGTTGTTATATCTATCGTTTGTTATACCCAGTGCCCTTTATATCATGCAAGAATATGGCAAATGACTGTATACCATAAATTAATTATATATGTTGAGTGTTATAATATAAGTCGATATTATCGACGAACCGCATATTATTTACATTGACGAATTAATTTGTTTAGGAAACATAGATGGCAGGACTTCTAACTTAGGCACGTTTATAAATGATATTGTGAGTATTGAATTGAGCAACGCTTACGCTTAAAATGATAAGCGTGCTTATATTAAAAGGCAACCTTTTAAAGTGTTTTTCGTTTAACCTCCCATATCTAATTGCCATAGATTCCCAAACTTTTAGGCAACTGCCCACTTAGGCAAGATAAAAAATTTCAACGCTCACCAGCACAAAAAACTATTGATAACACGTATATTTTGTACTAACTTAACAAAAAAAAAGTATATAAGGAAATTATTAAATTAAATATTTGTAGTGTACTTTATAAAAATAATTTAGGTTTCTTTTGTCAAATGCGGTAGCACCTCGCATCAACGCCCCCTAGGACTTTTCAGCGCACACTGGGAGGGCGGTAGGGACCACTTTGGGAAACTATGATATATAATAAATAACACAAGTAGTGCAACAACCCATTGTTCGGCGCATCAATGCTTACATTCCGCTCGGAGCGTAGAATTGTCATATTATTATTTTAGTTGTACAGGACCTGCTGGGTGTAAAAATAATGTGAAAAAATTAAAGTGAACTAACCTATGTTAATGCAATACTTACGTATTCATATCGTAATATCAGCATCGCTGATTGGTATCTCGATTATGGTTATGAAATAGGAAAGAAATGCTGGACAATTCTGGATTTTAGGCACTCTTGTTCAAACAACCATAAATACAATAATAAAAAAGTCTACTATCTGATATTCTTTCTTAAACACCGAATGAACTCTTTAATTTTCTAATGAATGGCGCGTGTGACGACACGCGAGTGCACCGCGAGATTATGCAAATGTGTGTCCGCGGAATGGGCGTGTCTTTCTACATACAAGCCGCGCTGCTACCTTTGTATGGAGTTACACTACTTGTCCTATGTTATACTATGATATTACGTTCTCAAAGTTAACACAATCTGTGTTTACACTTACTTGACTAGCTGCCTTATCAGTCTTAATGCCGAAGAATCTATGGCCAGTGTCGGGTGAGCCGAATATGTATCCGAACGCGCGCGAGTCCGTCATGTCCTGCGCGATGAAGGAGATCTTGTGCACTGGATGATGGTACAGGGAGTCCTGTTCAATAATTGTTATTTTTAGAACGAAGAAAAGGATTTCTTATTACAAATAATCGATCCAATACTGCTTCGAAATGACCTACCTTGAATAACGCAAAACCTTGTAATCTTTACGTTTGCAACCATATAAACAACTAGCAAAAAATTTTTTTTTAGTCTTTTGCTGTCGTGGACACGATCACTAGTTGAAGTATGACCACAACTATTTGTTACACCGTGCTTAAGTGTTAAGTACTGTTCAAACACGATAGGCAGAAGTGCACAATGTTGACTCAAATCATGTTTTTGACGGAATATTTTATTCTTATAAGGTGAACATTCTACGTTGGTTTCACACCGATACAATATGATGTGTACAATTTTTACCTAGATAGAGACAATACGTTTGTGTACGAGATCAGCGAACCATGTTGCAAATTTGAATGTTGTGTTTTTCTAATAATAATGTATTTATATTTTGTACTTTAACACTTACGCCAGTCTTATCATCGCGTAGTCTCAATCCGTCAATGGCTACGTGGACCTGTATGCGTTGTTTGTGCTCTCCCGCGGCGCGGATGGCCATTTTGAGGTCGGCCAGCGCCTCCTGGCACATCCTGTCGCCTCGCGCTTCAGGCACTTCGAGCACGCCAATCAACTTCGCTCGAAATGATACGCCTTCGCCGAGAAAGCGCCCCGGCTCGTTCTTATCTGATAAAAGGGGTTAATACAATTGGTATATGATTTACAAACTAGCGATCTTAAGTACTGTTTGTTTAATTTCTGAATTTTATTTGTAGCTTTAGTCAGTATTTAGTTTTATCTAGATGACAAGAGCTTGATTGAAAGATTTACTGACTGTTCAAAAATAATATTTGTTACAATAGGTACCTATATAAAATAGTATAATAAATGTGCTGAATTTCATAAACTGATATTTTGAACAAACGGCAATTTCACAATTAAATATCTAATTAATAATACTCGATAATATTTTTAAAGTTTCATTTATTACGTTTCGTAAAGAAATTCCAAGTTCATTTCGAAGGAAGGGTTATCAAAATGATGATTTGTTAACAATTGTTGTTGACGATGAGTTATTAACATTTTTAATTCTATGTCAATTAAAATAGGTAATTTTTTATGATTACAAAAATATGCAATAATTAGTTAATAGCAGTTAGCGCAATTTCCCCTGTTTCTTTCTCCATACTTTTATTTCCATTTATTAAGTTTACACAAATATTTCGAGTTTTTTTTTCATATTAATTAGTACTATATTAAAACGAACCACGATCCATTAGGCAATAAAAATCAACAGCTATATAGCTCTCGATAGAGCCCCATTACTTATACAGTAGAGCTAATCTACACTATGTGTTAACATTGTATTAGATGTAGGTAAACAAGCGGTCTAAATATAAAAGCACAATTTGGCATCAACACAAAATTAAATTCACACAAAAGCACAGCACATATTGGACACACTTTCAAAATTTGAAGAAGTATTTAGGATTAGGAACACACGTTCATACCTTTGCTTAGCAGATTTTTTAATTCAGTCTTTTTGAGTGTCATGATTTTAATTGACTTTTTTAATACTTTTTATAGGCTATCTAAACACGTAACGTGGCGTGCGAATAAGGAGTGAGCGGCATGTCCTATTTCGGTCCCTGTTTACAGTGCATCATTGCCGGTTTAATTAAATTTCCTGTTTTTAAATTTAGAAACTGGAGGAGTACCTGTGACACATTCGTTCATTAAATGATACTATCTGTTCTTTAATATATATCTATTATTCACACTATTACAATAAGATAACAAAGAAACACACAGAGAACGTATGGAAAACTTTATATTACATCTATTTTACATCTCTAATCTCTGGAAGAGGAATGAATAACAAAACTGAAATTAAATAATTGCAACAAAATTTGTCCTACTTGTAACTATGATACATTATTAGATTTAACTTTAGACCACAAAGCACGTTATGATATTATCATATCTTTGTCCCCGGTGAAAACTACTAGAGCAAGCAAACAAAGATAATAATGTTTACTTGATAGCCCGGTCAAACAGGGTACTTGGAAGTATGCCATAAAAATCAAGACATTTTTAGAGATTTATAAGGTTTCCAATTAACCCTATTGACAATTAGCCAGCTAACAGCACAAGATTAACCTATTAGCTAAGTATTACGCCATTATCGCATGATCACGTCACTGCCTGGTGCCATCAAGTCCACAGTCCCGAATATTGGAGCACTGGAGTAGTTAGAGTACCTCGTGTCCGTCCCAGTAATAAAACGACACAAGATCTAATTTAATATTGTCAAAGAATACTTACTACTCTAGCATTATTTCCTTAGCATTATCAATTAAACATAAGCTTGATGCCTATAGGGAGACAAAAATAAACAATAAAAAATCAAAATGTATGTATATTTTAAGAAATGTGGTCCATGGAAACAATAAGAATGCCTAGAGTTATATATACAGAAGGCATGCTTTGTGAGTTTAAATGTATTTACAATAGAAATGTTGCATTCAGAAATACTGTTCTATCATTGAATAAAAACATTGTAGTGCGTTAATTATTTAAATAAATAGTCGTAACGAATTTTGGAATTAATTTCAAATCAGATAAGTATAATAAAGTTATTCTACGACTAATTTCAAATACTTAGAAAAAAAAGAGTAAATTGTAACATTATACTCGCAGATTAGATAACTTTAAGTAACCGTGCACATAACAGCGTAACAGTATTTTTTGATTAAAAGAGTTCATTGTAATTGAAGACCTCTAAATACAAAATTCGGTTTAGAAGTAAAATTGATTCATTACATAAGTTCGTTTATGTCTATCGCATCGTATATTTTTAGACGCTTATTTATCGGATTGTATTCATCTGAAATGTTTGCGATTGCGTCTATCATCTCACATAAAGTACACGTACGATAATCATAATATTAGCGAATGTGTCACTAGGTAGACACTTAACTTAAAAAAGTAATTTTTACTCACAAAACATAATTATACGCACGCCTTCGACAACACCTTTAGAGTTAGAAATTAAACTGTGAATAATCTGATTACAAACAAGAATTTTAATTAAATAGTGTCTTACTTATCTTACAAGTACAGTTAAACAGAGAGTTGTTGTTAATGAGTTAGTATGAAAGAAAAATATAGAAGCCACAAAGCGACAGAAAAAGCAATAGAAATGCTATTTACCTGCTATGAGATACCAGATACCAGGCGATTAGATAGAATGTCGTCGTAACACAAGGAATACATTGTCTACGTTTTAGCCACAAATTATGTTATTGAAGAGAAATGCTGACTCACACATTCGGAGGCCGGTCTTCACAAATTATGGATACGTAATGGTCGGGTGAACTTTATAGCACCTATTGTATAGTTTCTTTTTCATCTCTATGATATTAAGTATAGTAGAGCAGTTGAGTCATGCGCATCTTATGATAACTCTAACATCGTACATTTTTTACGTAAAATTAAATAATATCGTACTTTGGCTTAAAAACTAATGAACCCACGATAATACTATTTTGTTTTGACAGTAATTTACAATGGTATTATAATCGTAGACAGAAAATATATCTGATTCAGGTTTCCAGACAAACACTTTTCTCGATATATAACGATGCTTACCCTGTATGTATATGTATTCCTTCTGTAAACGAGATAAGTAACATATGAATACGAAGCATTATACTAAACGATACTCACCGAACTGCCGTAGGAGGTGCTGGAAATGACAGACCTGCATTATCCCCTGTTTAACGGACAAATAGCAATGCCCAGCCCCCCGCCGCACCGCTCAGCCGCCCTCACCCTCTGTCCAAAATACCAGGTTCACTAGTTATGAAATGGAACTAGCACGTGGCTTGGATATGCAGCCAGGAACCGTTCGATTACTTTTTTGATATGCGTTTGGTTGCGATCATGTTGGGTGCAGACGCGGTCGAAGATCGAGCACGCAATGGATGGAGTTGAAATCCCAAAACATTAAAACTCCTTAGACACATCTTGGTTGCATATCCAATGTGAATGATAGCACGGGTGCTAGTTCGGAAATCTAAAGGTAACTGTATACTAGACGCATTCGGCTTTAAATCTTGAATAGTGGACAACCAAATATTTTTATACATATAGATTTATGACTGGAAAAAATACTATTTTGTTAAGATTATACAGTACGCGGTTATTTAAAAAAAATTCGATTATAAATGATGTAAAACATGGTAGAATTCATGTACGTATTGATAACCAATAAGAATTGCAGGTCAAAGACGAAGAAACTGCAGCTTCGCATTTAAGAGGTCACAGTTTTCATTTGAATGAATTTTTACTTCGTATTTTCAGTGTACAGTATTATAGTATATAGATTTGTAGAGAAGCCGAAGTATAATAATTACAGTCACCTTTACAATTAATAGGGTGAAATAGCCGACTCATGCATTGTACAACAGAAATCGCAAAATATAACAAAGCTAAGATGCGACAACGTGGTCGAATATACATTTAGCTCTATGCTAACATTTAATAACCTTAACAATTAGGAAATTAAAGAATAGCAGAAGTTATCTTGAGTTGTAAAGCAAATCCGGACTCACATTTGCAAGGGCTGGTTTTCTTTCGAAGAGTTTGCATTGGAAAGTCAGTCGCTAACTTATGATTAAACATCGGGACCTTCAGTTTGGACCCGATATCACTGAAACGGAAATTCACTATGTTGGACCACGGCACGTGCACCAGAAAAAATGCAATATCCAAATTTCACAACGAGATTTATTGATTTTTATGCCGACGTTCGCGATCTCAGAACTAAACGGTGTTTTGGACTTCGTTCCGAACGTCACATGTTTCGATGGCATGCGAACGAATCGTATTCATTTATGCGATGCTTTTTAGTAATTAATATTTGCATTTGTGTTTATAATTTCGATTGGGAACTCTCGGTTCCAGATCGCGGTTAGCACATGGGATATGGTAAGGCGCACTCCACACTTACACTCGCACCTCCGCGGCGAGGAAAGACGTAAGCGACATGTCGCACTTTTGCAGCTGCGATCACTTGTGACGTTTCTCAATAGGGGTTGTAAGCGCGCGCATCGTAATCCCTGTCTGTGAAAAGCACGCACACACGCGCGTAACAGCCCCTAATCAATATTCCCCCACAATGTCTAGTTTGTGCAAGTTTAATGCCTCTCAATGTAACTGTTACACTAGATGTTAAGACTAGACTAGACTATTTAAATTGATTACTTAGCGTATTCGTATTGATTAGCATATTTACATGTTGGTATATAACACATGTCTATTGTATTAACGAAAACAAGAAAATTTGATTAAAGCTTACTTTTAAATGTAATTTAAAGTTAGAAGTGGTGCTGATTCGGTTAGGCATTTTTTAACGTCTTTTAGTCTGCAAAAGATCAAACTATATACAGGCTGACCCATTATGAGGTTGCAATGAGGAATAAGTGAACACATTGAGACAGCTGACGAAATGATGAACTGCTCACTTAATTTGCCAGGTTGGAATAGGACATTATGCAATAGTAATTGACTGTTGTGTTTTCTATTCTTTTCAAGTGGGCTACCTGTAATTTAAACCTAAGAAGAGAAGTCAAATATGACCATACAGGTGAAAGTTTGGAAGTACTTAATTGCGTCATAATATGTATATTTTATGAAAATTGCGAAAAAAATCTAAGTACTTATTAGTTATACGATTTTGTAAAAAGTTTTTATGTAAATTCACATAGTACCCTGAGAAACTCAAATTTTATGTAGAAAGTAAATTTTTAGTCAGTTTTAATTTTTAATTGTCTTCAACTTTATAGACACCCTATATGGTAGTTTTAAGTTGAAGTTGCTGCTAAAACTAGTCAATAACAATATTTATTTAATATTGCAAATGAATAGAGCCAAATATGTGTGAGCTTCACACACATTTGACCCTAAGCTTCAAAGAAATAACCATTGTATGAGGAACAACATTTGATTGTAAGGATTCAGAGTTCAATGTTCAAGGTTGCGTGATAAGAAGAGCAGTCATTTATGAAATATTTATACCTTTCTTTGATACAGTTAATAATTAAATAAGTTCTATAATGCAACTTCTGATGTTCTTATTACAGAATATTTATAAAAATTGTTAAGAAATTTTTGAATTCTAGTTTTAAGACAAATAGGTAAAAGAAAGGAAATATTAAAGATTTCTTTGTTTAAAGATCTTTCTCTCTTCCTATTAGTATAAGAGTTTTTTATAAGATGATAAAAATGTTTTGTATAAGATGTTGTTATTTAAATACACAAGACAATGTTATCACCAGGACGAGGGGCATCTCTAAGGAGGGGAATGAAATAAATCTAGCAATAGGAGACATGCAATATCCTTAACACAGTCTTGTAGTTCTCCTCACAATTTTTTTTAAATGAATAGTCTTCAAATGAATTAAGAACATTTCGTTATGATGTAAAGATAAAAGACAATAAAAAGAAACATATATGATGTTTTCATCTTCTTATCTATAATCTATATGCATATTAGTTATTAAATTTATAGATATTGATAAAATATCATTCATTGATTGCAAAATATCCATAGGTAATTTTATCAGTATTTGTTTAAATGAATATTGTAATGTTGATAAATTACAATTTCATTGTATATGTATATGATTGATTTAGCTTTATGGAAATAGGCACATTGTATGAATAAGATTAAGGTTACTACTGTTTCCAGGGAGCTCATTATACTACATAACTCATAATATAATATTTTACTGGTTTACTGTTCATAGTTAATAACAAATTTAAATTTTAGAGGTACTGGTGGAAGGATACATTCGATTGAATTAATTTGGAATTAGTTATTAGAGCAACATACTTTACAAAGCTTATAAGTAAAAAAAAGTTCTGCTGTATTATGTGCATTTATTAAATATTATAGCCACTTATGAATTATTCAAAAAAGTCACTGTTTCCGCAGATTCGTTATCAACAAAGGTGCGATGAGTAAATTCAATATAATTTTAAAATTTATAACTCTCCACTTTTATTAATCTTACCTTTACAAACAGCCATGATATCGAGCAATAACCTGAAGGCCAAGGTATTACTTATCAACAAAATTTGTTGTTTTTCCCGAGATTCAAACAAAGTTCTAAGGGAAAAAATATTTGTTCACGCAACCTGGTTTTAGGACGCCTAAAAGTCAGTTGTAGTTACAAGCTTTACTTAAATCTAGCACGTTACAATTATTATTGAATATTTATTTATTATAAATCTTAGTTGAAAATTAATTAAATTCACAAAAAACGGCAAATGACATACACACTCCCTAGCCGTTTGTCAATAATTGTTTGACAGAAAAACAGCTGGCAGCTTTTCGCTTGAATTACGGAAAATTAAGTGTATTGCAAGAGTACGAGCGCTACAAAAATTTGGAAAGCGTATATTCGCTTTAACGCAGTATTGTTTAAAAAAAGCGCAACAACGCATTCGAATTTTTTTTGTTGACGGTACGGCACAGTGCATATTTGCGCCTTATTATGTGTCTACCTTGATTTCTGTTGGGTAATTTGCCGAAAAATTTCAAATGGTCGACATTTTTCCGGAAAAATTGTTGTAAAATTGGAAAAACTTGAAAAATACGAAAAACTGGAAAAATGTGTGGAGGGTTTATGTTATTATTTGTCAATGCTTGCATGTTTGTCTGTACGTCAAATATTTTTCCAAGTAAGTGTACGTCTTAGACGATGGAAAAAGAATAAGGTGTACGTACATCAGCCTTAGTTGTCATACAATGTCATATTCTCCTATCTAAAATTTAACCATGTTTCTTTTGAGTTAATTAAAGCCTTATTTCCTCAAAGGTTTATTCTTTCATGTATCAATTTAATGAACACATCAAATCAAATGATCCATAACACGATGTTTGAAGCAATCAAGAGAAGGGGATCGACGAATATGTTCTGGGAGAGAATTGATGGATAGCAGATACAGTAAACGAGTTGGATTAAAAATCGGAGCCATATTCAGTATGAGTGTATCAGAGGAGCGAAGAGGATGGCAGAGTGTAGCCGAGTGAAAAATAAAGTGTTCTTTAAGGTAAAGAGGCGTAAAGGGATAGAATAAAGTAGAGTAAAGAAGGGAAAGTGTGTGAACGTCTCTACGCCGGTGGATGCCGGTGGGCAGCCATATAAGTTGTGCGCGAAACTGGGAAATGTGGTCAAACTTACGAAGTCCGTAAATAAATCTTACACACATATTTTGGAGGCGTTTCAATTTATTAAGCAGGGTGATTGTCAAATCCGGATAACAAATATCTGCGTAGTCCAAAATCGGATGTAGTATGCTCTGAGCCAAGGTAATTTTAGTTTTAATAGGCAAAAGGTTCTTCAGTCTCTTAAGTGATAAATGTGCATCAAACACCTTCCTGCTAACCTCAGTAACGTGTGGCTTCCATGTAAGACACTGATCTAAAATTACCCCCAAGTTCTTAACTTTGCCTAAATACGGAATACGAACAGCATTGATTTACCAAATTTACCAAATTTTTTAAAACCAAAAATTTACCAATAAATTACGGGTTGTACGGATTCAAGGTTAATACGAAATATATACCATGGACTACCAATAATTATACATTGTGTTTTTGATGGGTTAACCCTTAGACCAAAAGACCGACTCTAGTCAAGAATACATTGAAGGTCCACATTGATGGCATTGACGGCAAATGATATGTCGTTAAGATACGACTGGATGTAAATTTTTAGGTCGTCAGCATAAAGATGATAGGAAGAAGTGAGGGAGTGTGTAATAGAGTTAATAAATATGGAAAATAAGAGAGGAGAAAGGACACCCCCTTGTGGGACCCCGGCAGAAATACCAGACCACGTAGAGATAGAATTTTCATTACGTATGCGCTGCTGACGTCCACAAAAGTAACTGCGAAACCAATCAATAACTGCTGGAGATACGTTACGTAAACGCAGTACCTCCAATAACAAATCAAAGCCAACATCACTAAAGGCATTATTGAAATCGAGCAAGGTCAGTACCGTCAATTGCGAGTTTTCCATGCCCATACGGATGTCATCAGTGATTTTCGTGTGTGCTGTAGTCGTACTATGACCAATGTGGAATCTGGATTGGAAAGGATTGATTGGGTTGTTTCTGTTTAGGAATTAGTTAGCTAGTGGTGAACCAGGTTTTCTAGGACTTTGGAAAGGAAAGGGAGAATTGAAATGGGACGGTAATCTGACGGGGTACTTGGTTTGGATTTTTTTGGGAGTGGAATATGCGTCTTTCCACGACGAGGGGAAAACACTTGTGGAGACAGATGTATTAAGGATTTTGGTAATGACAGGAGTGAGGAGATCAAGGAAAGGAATGATCATGTTACGACTAATATAATCAGTACCTACAACATTGGAGGAGATAGCTAAAATGTTTTTCTTAACGTCACAGTCAGCAAATTGATTAAGAACAAAGGAGGAATGGTCAGGAATTGACAATGAAGAAAGATATTGTAAAGTGTTGTCTTTGACTGAACAATTCAAGACAGAGGTTGATGAAAAGTGAGAATTAAGTTTATCGAGATTTAGGTCTGGAGAGGAATTATTGTGAGATTTACCAATTCCAAGCGACTTAAGGAATTCCCAAACTTTTGTAGGATTACCATTTTCAATAATACTGTGGATATGAAGCCAATTTCAATTTTAAATATGGCTGATCGTGCTGCGCAATATTTAAGCCCGGAGAAGTTTATTGCGGATCCGAGTGATCCTGGAGCCTAATTTCGATGGTATCACCGGTACCACACATTTGAGAATTTCATATCTGAAGAAAATGGTGGTGCTTCTTTTGGGATGAAATTAAAACTTCCGGTGAACTACTTATCTCCAAATATCTTTGCTCTCATAAAAGACTATATCAATTATGATCAAGCTGTAAAATTACTGAAAGTAACATACGAAAAGCCGAAGAATCGTATAATAGAAGAATCTATTTCCGATTATATACGTGCTTTAAAGTTACTAGCTCAAGATTGTGATTTCCGTGCAGTTTCAGTAGAAGAAAATCAAAATGAATTCATATGTAATGCGTTCATATCAGGAATATACTCTCAGAAAATTCGCCAGCGACTTTTGGAAAATTATACTCTCTCATTTGACGACGCGCAGAATCAAGCTTTGACACTTCAAACTGCCGAAAAAATTTCCCAGTCCTTCTCAACACCTTCATTTTCAAACCCTATGTTAAATGCTGACCATACTACGACTAAAACGAAGGAAAATGAAGATAATTTATCTGCTATTAATTTTGGTCAGAAGAAATGTCGCTGTTTCTTTTGTCGTGGAAATATACATCAACGAATGCCCTGCTTTTCACGTAACTTGCCAGCTTTGTTCTAATAAAGGACATTTCGCTAATGTATGTCGTCGTAAAGGTAAAGATTCTACAGTTAATGCTATTATAGAAGATAGTTCTGCGAACACTGCGGCTGTAATTGCAGCCGCCCCTAGTAGTTTGCGAAAAGCTACTATTCCTATCATTATAAATAACCATACAACTGACGCTCTCGTGGATACCGGTTGCTCACTTAGCTTTATCGACAAATGTCTGGCTAATATATTGAATATAAAGAAAAATTTGTAATCAAAGAATTACACTAGGCTCATTAAACTATGCATCGACCATAGAAGGACAACTGCTGAGGTCGACAAACACGTCTACAAGCAAAAGACGTTACTAATAGTTAAAAACCTATGCGCTGACGTTATCATCGGTCATGACTTATTAAAAACACATTCCTCTCTTATCTTAAACTTGGGTAGCAATAACGAACCTCTTACTATATGCAGTGTAATGGAAGCTTCGGTACCTCCCGCTTCAATTTTCACTAATCTTTCACCGTTTATCAAACCTGTAGCTATTAAATCTCGAAGATACACTGAAGAAGATGGAGTTTTCATAAAAGAAAAAACAAATAAGTTACTCCAAGACGTTGTCATTAGACCTAGTATCTCTCCGTGGAAAGCTCAATATCTTGTCGCAGGAGGTGGACATCACCGTAAACGTCTTGTAATTGATTACTCAAGAACTATAAATATACAAATTAGACGCCTACCCATTACCAAAAATTGTAACTACCATAGCAAAAGTTTCTAAATACAAGTATTTTAGTCAAATTGATTTAAAAAGTGCTTACCACCAAGTTTCCATTCTGAAAAAGGATCGAAAATGTACCGCATTTGAGGCCTGTGGTAAGCTATACGAATTTACACAGATTCCATTTGGCGTTACGAATGGAGTAGCGTCCTTCCAACGCACTCTGGAATTTGTCATAGAAAATGAAAACCTTACGCGGAGCGACAAAAGAAGAGCATCATATAAACCTGCAAAAATTTGTTGAAGCGGCTACAATATATAAACTAACACTGATATATGAAATATAAGTATATATGAAATATAAACTGATTATATGAAATATAAACCAACTCTAATAGGCATTTGGCTCCCTTACTGGAGGGAAAATATGACAACGAGGAAGAAAATGATGAGTCTTTCTCCCAAGAAGTGGATGAGACACAGCCTAGACGAAATGGAGATGAAACAGAACCTCAAGAACTTGAAGAAGCTCTAGGAGGTGTTGAAGAGCCTAGAACTGGACGTGGACGGCCTACTAGAACTAGAAAGCCGCATAGTTACTTTAAGGACATGTCTAAAATATTATGTGTACTGTTAGAGTCATCTGAACATCTTGGCTGGGGACCTTAGACTATGGAAACTAAAGGACATGTTACGTTGACATATGTGTATAAATCAGACGTTATATGTATATGATGCATTTCGACGTCGAAAACATAAACATGTTATTGTCTTTGTTTAACTATTACGTGCCGTCTTAAGCCAAAAGAGGTAGCATTACATTGGTCTGTGTCAAACACGGGAATCGAAAATACGTAACGTCATCTTAAATGCTAACCGTGTCCATTTCGCATTACATGAGGTACATGACACCGTTGTCAAAGGGAAGTACATCAAATATCAAAACAAATGTTTTTTCAAATGTACTATTGAATTATTCGCATGTATTATAATCAAATTGGACAAAAATATTGATAGTGACAATAATTAGGTATTAATAAAAATGCGACACTGCAGCATTAAGGGATGTGGCTTTAGAAAAAGTGCAAATCAATCGAATGTTACATTGCACAGGCATGTGTTATTTTTTTGTCTATAAATCACACAATAGCCCAAATATTTCATGTAATTAGACTTAAGTAGTTTATTTATAATTGTTGCCAAAAATTGCTTTTGTTACTTTAGACTGCTTGTTTGTTTGTATATTTTGATGATTGTTGTTAACGATTATTTTGAGATAGTATTGATCTTGTAAGCATACTTATTATCGATATTCTGTTATTAAAACAATTCACTACGAGGTTTTTATTGTTTTACTATTATTATTTTTTGTTTCAAGTTTTCCTACAAATAAAAAAAGGAAGAAAGAAAGGTTGGAAATTATAGGACTGCCGAATATAAACGTTGGATCAAAGACCATCTTCATTTCTTCGCTTCATTTTGAAGAGTCAAATTTTAACAGAACTTTAAATGTAACTAGATTACATGACAATGCTATGCCATCATTAGGTTTATTGGTAAATAGTTCTATGTTCAATTTAGATTAAACAAGACTCATTTACTAGTTGTTCTCAGTTCCTGAAAACAAAATTATCCACTCGTTTCTGATTTTTCCCAATGACAACTCTAACTATTAAAAATGACTATTTTTTTAAAGCCTGCAATACAATGACATGTTAGTCCAACGTTGCCGGGTAAAGACCAATACCAACGTATAGACAGCCTATTTGCCTTGCCTTGCCATCGTTCGGTGTCACTCGCCTAGCTGACCGAGTGAAGGCGAGCGCCAACGTGTATAGAGTTCATTTGGCTTATCACAAATCAAAGGCTCGGCCAATAGTGTTTACACGTTTGTCCGTCCGCATATGGGAAATAAATTATAAAAAAAGTTTCAAAATGTGTGTTGACATTTATAATAATATACCACTCGAGATTAAATTATTAGACTTGTGTTTGTTTAGGCATACTTTGGTTACAGTAAACTAAAGAAACAAAAAAAAAGCAGTTTCAACATTCAAGTCATACATTTGCATGTCGATAATGACTTATCGATAGATTATGGTACAATACTAAAGAAATCCGCCAGTTGTAACTTTCAAACTTTGATTATGTGCACGTTGATTCGGTAGTCAGGGCAGCTCCTTTCTTTTATTTTTTTATTTTTTTTCCATCTAAGCTGGGGAGAATTATGTAATCTGTCTATGCTTAGTTGTCATACAATGTCATATCCTCCTATCTAAAAAAAAAAAACTAAAA